TAAGGGCTGCAGCTGTTTTATTTCCATTCTGGATTCTTGCAACAAATTCCTTACTTACCTTGTTGGTGTCAGGAAAAGAAAAGTGCTTTTTGGTAATTTTTGTAAGTATCATGGACCAATTTTGGTTGCTAAATCCAGTGGGTTTCATCCTACTGATTTAAATTACTAAAGAACCGGAGACTCTGTCTCAGCCCAAACAATATCTTAGGAATGGGTTTTTTTGAATACACAAATTTTTGAAGATAGATTTACAGCACAATCACTCTGAGGCAGAATAGTCTACAAAATATTCTACAGAAATTTTTTTTTTTTTAGTGGATTTGTCACCATCCCCCAAAAAGGCTCAGAGCAACTTGCAATGACAACAAGATAAGTTATAAAAACAGATACACAAAGAGTAAGTTATAACTCATTCCACAGACAATACCCCAAAACTTAACCTTGTTTGTTAAAAGTGTGTCCAAATAAGACCTTAAAAATGCTTCTGGAAGATGCCCAGACTGGGGCTCTGATGGGCTTTAATGGGTAGAGAGTCGCAAAGCTGAAACTGTAGAGAAAGACCTACTACTTTTTTGACAAAAAAAAATGGTGAATGGATAAAACTTGCAGGAGGTTGCTGTCAGCTGACCTTTGGGATCATGATGGAACATAAGGGCGAAGGTTGTCCCTTAGGTATGTAGGACCCAAGCCGTTTAGGGAATTATAGGTCATAACCAGCTCCTTGAATTGCATCCACAAAGCCACTGAACTCTGGATCATGGGATAATGTGGTTGTGGAGACTTGCCTTGGTCAGAAGGTGGGCCGCTGCATTCTGTGCCAGCTGTTGCTTCGAAATGGTCCTCAGGAGCAGCCCCACACAGATAACATTGCAATAGCCCAGCCTCAAGGTTGCAAAAGCATAGACATCCCTGGCCAGATCTGTAGCTGAAAGTCACAGCCTTCTCACCAGATGTAGTGGGTGAAAGGTGCTCCTAGTTACTGCTACAGCTTGAAAATTCAGGTACAGGAGCACCCCAAGGCTATGAATTTGAGTGATAAGGGGAGGCTGAGCACCATCAGTGATGGGTTTCCCAATTCCCCCTAGTCATGAGGTCTTTCAGTCACCATCACCACTATTTTGTCTGGGTTCAGTTTCAGTTGGTTCATTTGTATCCAGTCCCCAGCTGTAGCCAGTGGTAGCCTCAATCCCCCAAGATGACCCTTACAAGCCAGGATGGGCATGGGTTCAGTTCACAACAGATAGCCTGTATCTTTCCCCCAAACACAGTTTGCATTGGTGGGTAACAGCAATTAAAACGAATCCATATAAACCAGATGTGATGGAGCTCCTCAAACTCGAGACTGCAACTAAACTGGCAGTCCCCGAGCCATATTGCATGCAAGAGATTTTTGTCTGTACAGTAGGTGACAAACTCATCACCGCAGACTGTGGATGACTCAGTTTCTGGGTGGAGGCAAACTGGATTTATCAGGCCATACTCTACCCAGAACATTTCTTCCAGGTGGTGCTTTGCAAATGCAGTGGCAGTGGAGAAGCAAGCCTCTGTATTGTTGCTGCTGCAATGGTATAGTCCTTTAAAAAGGATCTATCCTGTAATCAATCAGCTTTTGCACAGATTAGAAGCTACCTGCACTCAAACCATCTATCTGCCTGCTTCAGCGGCCTCAGCACCCCCATGTGCCAAGGGAATCTGTACCACCACAGGGGTGGGACCGTATGTCTGGGTGTCGCTATATCTATGGCCAAGGTCAGCATGCTGTTTTACAGTTGAATCGGGCAGAGGAGCTGTCAGGGTTGGTGGGAATATTTCCTAGAGTTCTGGAATCCCGCTGACTCCGTGTATCTCCAGTGTCGGACAGTGACATCTTAACAACGATACTCCCTTTCCTCTCTAACCAGTGACTGGAATTCCTGTATTTGGGCAGCTACAAACCATAAGTCCAATGCATGTCCCACCTTGTATTAACTCTGTTTTTTATCTGGGATAACCCTGTGATTGTCAAAGAGGCCATGGCATCCTGCTCAAACCCTGAAGAGCCAGCCTAGGTGTGCATGTTGAAATCAGCCAAGACAATGAGTCTGGATGTCCTCAATATTGCTTCCAAGAGAAGCTCAGCTAGCTCTATTAGGGGATTTGGTGTATGGCAGGGTGGCTGATACACTAACAGAATCCCCAGTCTATCCCTGGCTTTCAGCATAAGTTAGACTTGTTCTGTGTTGGACAAGTTGGGCGTTGGCTGTGACCCCCTACATTCACTGAGACAGGAAGAGGACAGGGGAATAGCAACAAAGGCAGCAGAAGGCTGCAGGTAACGGGGCTTAGCCACCACCCCCGCTCCGAACTAATTTTGCCATGGCCAGCGACAGCAGCAGCACCACTGTCATGCCCCACCACTGCATACAGCCCCAGTGTGCTCTGCCCCCGCCCCCAACATAATATTTTCTCCCATTGCCTATGGACAGCAACAAAGTGAAATAAGAATACCATATTTCAAATCCAGTTAGAGCTCAAAACCTCTAGATTTGGGAATGTTTCAATGTTGTGAATAGTGTAACTTTGTACATATATTTTAGTTTTACTGTAATTTTTACGTTGGGATGTTGTTAATTTTTACTTTAATGCTGGTGATGTCCATGAGGATGTCTAATGACAGAATCCTCCTCTTTCATTATGTTAATTTTTGCCTAGGATCAAGCTCTTAAAATATGTACTTTGGAAGCTTAACATTTGTCTGAGCACACAGTATGGAGTTTGAGATGGATTAAATATTTGCGATCTATGGTGATGCAGTTTACTGTAAATTATAAATGCATTAATTTGAGTCTGTACAAATTTAAAATGTGTTAAGTGTCGGGATTTCTTGTTTTATAGAAATGATGGCAATGGTCTCTTAAACGTATGGTTGTTTTTATTCACTTTGAGATGCATGAAATCTATAGAGAAATTTGGCAGACAAGGTTCCTTGGGTGAATCTGATATCGTTTATTAGACCAACCCAAATAGTTGGAAAATAATTATTAAGCAAGCTTAAGGAAGTAGCCTGATGAAGGGTTTTTGAGTAGAGTGGAGACATGTGAATGTATGCCAGGCTGGTGGCTGCCCATGCACTAGTTCCCAGAAGCCAGCTGGGGATTTGGGGGGCGATAGAGGGCAAGTGCAGCAGAGCTTGCCCAGGTGGTGTAGGGCAGGTGTAGTCTGCCCCCCGCCCCATGTTCAGCTGGCAGCTGCCCCTGTTATGCTCCACAGGGGTCTAAGCCCTGCCTAAGGCAGCCTGTGCCATGCTCCCACCTGTATCTGCCCTGCATCTGCAGATAGCCCTGGCCAGTGCACACAGCTTCCTGGCTGGACTGCTCTTGCTGCTGCTGTGGTGGCCCAGGTACTGCTCAGATCCTCCCACCCCTGCTCCTGTCCTTGCTGTGCCTCTCCAGGCAGGGGGACTGCAGCTGGGTGGTTCCTGCCACACCGTGTGGGGCTCCAGCTTCCCACCTGCCTTTTACCCACTTGGCCACCTGCAGGTGGCTGCTTTTCATGCCAGGCAGGTGGAATGGGTGGAAGGTGGTCACGAACTGGAGGTTTGTGCTCTGGGATAGGTGCCACCTGGCTGCAACTCCCCCCACCTACAGCAGTACAGCTGGGGCAGAAGGAGGAACTTGTGGAGGCAGGGGGAGCTGGGTAATACCCGGGTAGCTGCAGCAACAGCAGGAGCAGCCCCGCTGGGAAGCTGGGCAAAATGTCTGGGGCTATGCCATTGGCTGGCACAGAGCAGGTAGGGGGTGGTAGCAAGGCATGGGCTTCCCTGGCAAGGAGCAAGTGGGGAGCCCCATGCAGAGCACTGAGGGGGCAGCCACAGAATGGACACAATCAATTGGTGGCCTGGATTCAACCCATGGGCCATATTTTGCCACTCCTGCTATATACTGTACTATATACTGGTATGGCATATACTATGTACTATACACTGTTGAGCACTTTTATTTCTATTTTTGGATTACTGTTAGTTTGGAAACCTTGCTTTCGACCTTGTTACCATGGGTAAACGTACCAGGAGTACAAAACTCCAGTTGGCATCGCGCTCATGCTCATTGGTAGTACACAAGCCTTTCCAGCAAGTCAAGGTTGTGATCCTTGGGAGAAATCATTTAAAATATTGTATTTTGAAAAGTGATTTTGAATAAATATATTGTAGGGTCCCTAGTTGGTTGCCTTGTAAATGCTGTGTAGCATGTCTTAAGTTAACTCAGTATAAGAGTTAGCTTATGTATAAGTGTATGTTTAGTGCTTTTCTTGACTGGGCTTGTAGTGGAGTACAATGGAAGACCTAGAGCCATCATTGGTATTGAAGTTATAATCAGATATTTACATTCTGTTTTCTAATTGTACCTTCAGATATTTTATATTGATCAGTGTCTCTCAGTGCAGAGAAAAACAAAAAAACCCTTTATACTCCTGGTCAATCTGACTGTGGGGTAGGGGGGAATCCTTTCAGATGTCAAATATGGCCATCTTTTTGACTTACTAAGCAGAAGAGACCCTGTAGCCAGATGCCTGGAAGGCTTGTAAGTGCTGGCAGGAGCACTGTCATATTCAAGTAAAAAATCCTATCTTTAACTGTGACCTATATCTAATTCATCAGGAGGAGAGCACACAAACAGATGGGGATGGGGATTGCAAGGAGTGGGGATCAGAATAACCACAGCAACAACAGGAGACGATAAAGTCTTCCAACTTGGGTGGGGTAAACTGAGGAAATCTTCCCAGCTCCTACAGGCCACCAGCAAAAACCTGGAAGTCCTGGGATTACCAGATATGACCAGCTTTTTGTAATGTTGGAAATGGTTATTTCCTCAAAAATGTGTATGTGGCTCAGTACTTCATTGACTTGAAACATTAAATCATCGTTTGTTCTTGAGACACATTTTTGAGTCATTCTGCCATAGGTTTTCTGTAGGTTTTGTTTTTTAAACAACGAACTACTTTTGGTTTTTTCAAATTTACAGCACAGCAAAGTACAGCGTGGTGACGTTTCTACCTCGATTCCTGTACGAGCAGATTAGAAGAGCTGCTAATGCTTTCTTCCTCTTCATTGCCTTACTGCAGGTACAATTTTATTGTTTTCCCTTTTAATGTCTAAGGAAAACTGCACTGTAACTATTCCAGTCACTGCTCAGTTGCAAAGAATTTTTTTTTTCTTAAAGATCGACCATCTTGAGCATAATACTATGCATAATAGTCACTATCCTCACAAATGTGAGGCTCCCTCTATATCTTACACTGCAATTAACGTGTTAATTGTAGCATAAATGTAAGTAGTGAGGATGTGCCCAATTTAATACTCTCTAAAATGGCAAAACAGCCCTCAAAATGGTCTAAATATAATACAGATAATTTTTTATGGCTGGTTCATATGGCACCTTCACTTGAACTGTCACAACCCAAAGTTGTGGATTTTTTGATTGTGTGCGCTTCGGCACCGCTAAATTATGTTCCTGCCGAATTGCAGCTCTTTTGCACGACGGAGTGTTCCGTTGTTACTGAGAACCCGCGTGCAGAAAAGTGTTTCCCGCTGTTTTGTAGCCTTCTTTGCATTGTGCATTTCTCTTGCATTATAGTGATGCACGCTGCAAAGGAGTTCCCGCCATTTGTATTAAGATTTGAGCCACATTATTGGCTGGTCTTAATTTAGGCACACATGGCGGCTAGCTATTGGCTTGCTAGCCGTACAAAAGGCGTGGGTGGTTTCCACCCAAGACGGAGAGAGAGAGACGGAGAGACGGATCTCTAAGCGCTGTGGGTCTTTTCGAACCCAGCGCGTCTTTCTTAAGAAGGTGATAGAGGCTCCAATTGCCGAACCTCCGGAGCCTAGCAAACTCCGGGGCACCACTCACCGACAGCCTCTAGCCTCTCCCCGGCACCGATCGCAGTCCAGACGAATCCCTACCCTAGAACCCAGTTATCGAAACCACGGAGTCTGAACCACTCCGAGGATCCTGGGAACCGAGTTTTAGAGT